AGAGGAGGTGGGAAGGGGGAGGAGGAGGAGGGAGGAGAGGAGGAGGGGAGGAGGGGAGGAGGGGAGCAGGGTAGCAGGGGAGGAGGAGAGGAAGGAAGGAGGGGAGTAGGATAGTAAGGGAGCAGGGGAGGAGGAGAGGAGGGGAGCAGGGGAGGAAGGGCCCTGGCCTAGGAGGATGCCTGGCTAGAACAGGTGAAGAGGCTGGGGTCACCCTGCACTGAGATGCCGGAGCTGGAAGGCTATGTGTTCCACCTCTTATGGTTTGTGTCTGGATGTCCCCCCAGATCCTCATGCAGTCATGGGGCGGGCTTCTAGAATTTTTGATTGATCCATGGTCCAATGCTGGGGTCATGGGTGTGAGTGCTACAGCCGCCCTAGGGTGGGTAGTTTGCATACAGTGTAAGGGAGGGAAAGAGCCTGCTCTGCTGCCTCTCCCTTTTTGCTCTTGTTCCTTTTGCTATCTTCTGCTGAACTGTTGCCTTCCGCCATGTGCCAGTCTGCCTTGGAGCCAGCCGAGTGTGGACTGAAACCTCCACAAACTGTGAGCTGAGTAAACCTTTCCTTCCTTAATATTGGGCATCAGGTATTTTGTCTCAGCAACCAGAGAAAAGTAACCAAGACACACCCTGTCTTGCACAGCTGGTAGTAAGGAGTGGAGGGTAACTACAGCACCAGAACAGGAACACAGGCTGGAGTCCCGGGCTGGGAGGTCACAGGGAAGAAGGCTCAGGGCAAACCTTGGCCTCGACGGGTGGGTGGTCAGGCTGGGGCACAGTGCTTGGCTGTTCAAGGCTGATTCTGAGAGCACCCCCGTAGGTCGCACAGACCAGAACGTGGCGATCACCCCAGGTCCTCTGAGGCTGCCACGCTGTGGTCAGCTGTGGGCCAGGAGAATCATCACAAAAGTGGTGGTAGGTAAACCTAGTTAGCTTTCGTTGCCAATTTTTATTATTTCCCGAGTCTAGCACAGAGCCTAGCAAAGTGAATACTCTTTCCGTGTGGCTCCCCTCCCCCACCCCTGGGGATTGTGCTACAGCCGCCCTAGGGTGGGTAGTTTGCATACAGTGTAAGGGAGGGAAGCCTTCCCACTTGGCTGCATTCCCATCCCTTTTTTATTTTTTTATTTTGAAACAGTCTTGCTAGGTCACTAAGTTCCTTGGGCTGGACTCACACTTACTGTCTTCCTGCCTCAGCCTCCCAAGTGCTGGGATTACAGGCACGTGCCATGATGTCCAGTTTGTTTTGTGTTTTAAACCCTGTCTCCTGAGGGTCCTGGGCCATGAGCTGCTGCTGTGCTTAGGCCTGCCCTGGCTGTCCCTCATTTTAACATTTTTCTGGTTTTTTATAACTCAACAATCAGATGTCCTGGCTAAATCCTACAGACCTACGCTCCCTACCTCCTGAAGTTGACACCTGTCAGGGAGAGACATATTTAGACGAGCACTCATGGAACACCTCTGCGGCACAGGACTGTCACCGTGTAAGAGCGCTGAGGTTTGGCATAGGCGGGGTATTCAGGTAGACTGCTCTGAGGAAGCGACACTATGGGATACAAAAGCCCTCAACTGCGCAAACAGGATTCCACAGAGCCAGAAGAGCATTTGCAAAGGTCCTGCTGCAGGGAAATGTGTAGCCACCATGAATGGCTTTGGGGAGGGCAGAGTGGCACTTGCGTAGACCTGGTGGTGAGCGTGGTGCAGGTGAGGTGGGCCATGAGATTAGCCTCACTACTCAAAGTCGAAGGAAAGCCCCTGCAGATGTCCTAACAGAAGAGACAGCCATAATCACACAGTTGTTTTACACTGTCCACCTCAGCCTCATTCGTTCAGCTCAGGTAACGGCTTTCATAGGCTCACCTTCTGAGAAAACGCTCCTGTAAGGGAGAAGCCGCTGACAAAATGTTTGAAATCACCCCTGGACCCAGAGAATGCCGCGGGGCCGGTTAAAAGCGCGGTACTTCTTCGAGACACTTTCCTGCCGTGACTGGAAAATTGTCACGCCAATTTTGTTAGAGGGAAACTTCACTGCCAACCTCCAGAAATTGTCACAGCAAATAGAAAAGCTTGTGATGTTTATGATGCGATACCTCTGTGTGGGCCACAACTCCAGGGAAATGGAGAAAAATAACCTTTTTTCCCTTAAAGTAAGAGTAAATACGATGTGATGCTTTTTTTTTTTTTTTTTTTTTTTTTGCCTTCAAAGGAATTATGATCAACGGAGCTGATTTTCTGGTGCTTATCTAAGCCATCCGAGCTGCTGGGAAGGAATGACAGGTTCCAAATGGCAGAAAGAGGGCGCCCTCCCCATGGCTGCTTGGATGGGGAATGAGAGTTTACACTCAAGAATGATATACGTGTGATCTGGGGTACAAGAGGAGACCGTGGAGCCACGCTGCAGCCCATTAACTCCAAGTGGCCCTGCCTGTGCCCAGGGAGCCTGAGAGCAGCCCATGAGGGTCTACAACAGGATGGGCTGTGTGGGCAGAGGCAAAGAGCTCTGTGTGGTGTTCTGGTTTGATTAAAATTGGAAGATGTATTCTACATAGATTTTTCCAAGTGGTTTTTGTGTTATGGTAAATTTCACTTTCAACCAGCAATCTTGCAGTCTTGGTTTAAATGCACTAACAGCTGTTTTCAAACTCTCTATCACAAAGTAGCAACAAAACACTTGTGTATATTAGAAAGCATCCTAGACGTTGATATATGCACTGAACACCACAGCCGGCTGTATGCTTATCTTGTTCACAATTTTTTTTCTTAAATGAAATGCATCACTCTCGGGCTGGGGATTTAGCTCAGCAGCAAAAGCGCCTGCCTGGCAAGCCCAAGGTCGTGGGTTCGGTTCCCGGTACCGGAGAAAAACCAAAAAAAAAAAAAAAAAAAAAAAAAGAAATGCATCACTCTCATAGATGTTCCTAGAAGATTCTAAGAAAGGATAGAAAGAATGCATTGTGGTCTTCCCCCATCCTGGACTCCATTGCGCTACCTCAAGCATTTCTGCTCGGATCCTTGTCCCCATGTCTTCAGGGAAACAGCACTGCAACAGAGTGGCTGGGGAAACCAGAGGCACGCTTACCACTCTCGGGATGGAAGATGAGCCGCTCCCTTCCTCCTCGTCCCCATCCGGCTCCTGGTCTTCATTGTCAGTCCAAGAGGATACGTCTTCGACTGAGCTGGTCAGATCCGGCAAGCTCTTAGAAGTCAGCCTGAGCAGGTCCTCTGCAGAGGTTTCCTATGGGGACACAAGGACAAGCCGAGGAATTATCCCCCCTGCACCAAGCAGCGCTGGACGTCACCTGACAGAGTCGACCTGCAGGCTCCCAGTCCAACTCCTACATGAGCTTTGGGCCGCATGTATGGGGTTACTGTCCATAGCGGGGCACGTGTATATCCAATTTAAGCCCAAACCACTTTTGCTTTCCCCTGAAGAATTTAGGTTTCTTAGGCTAATGTTTCCATGGGCAACCCAAGCTCTCTGGACTGGGATCCTTCAAGGGCCTGCCTTGTCTTGCTTTCAAGATGTTGTGAAAACTCCCTCATGGGGAGGTGAGCCTCTTGGAAATCTGGCCTCTCTATAATACTCGAAACCATCCTCCCGCCTTCTCCCCTCCACCGCACACCTTAGGTCATTTCCCATTCTCCTTGCAGTCCCCCGCCCCCATCTCCCCCATTAGCAGATCCTCCTGTGCAGACCACCCTTGACTGTGACTATCGTGTGCTTGGGGAAAGCCGGAGCATCTTTCCTGGACCTTCCCAGAGGTGCCCCGTGTGCCCCTCAAGTCTCTCTGACGTCCTGGACCCTTTCTCTTATCCCCTGCAGCGCACGTGTAACTTCACTGGTCTGTCTCCCCTGCTTGTCACGAGTTCCTCCCTCCCAAGTCCATTTCTCCTCATTACGGTGTCCCCAGGCCCACCTAGAGCTTGCATATCCACTCTACCTTCCTCCACCGCCCTGCTGGCCATCTCACCAGCATGTGCTCATTAGAAAGAGATTAGATTGCTTATTGAATCAAAATGCCAAGCTGAAGATAGGATAATGTGAAAGCAGCCCTTGAACAAGTTTTAAAGGTCAATGACAATGCATGGAATCTGACTGCACTCTCCTCAGTCTAAGTGGGCTCCACAGATACAGCCCCTGCTCCTGTGTACAAGGAAGGCCAGCTCAGGCTCTAGTGCACGTGTGATTGGGACGTGCTAGCGACAAACCCAGTGCAGAGGACGCACACCAGGAGCTTGGTGCTGTTCTTGGAAATGCCACCAGACACAGAGCCAGAGCTGGGGTCAGGAGGGGCACGGGGCTGCAGAGCTGACCCCAGCCCAGCAAGAGAACGGCGGTCTCTCCTCATCCTCCCACACCAGCCGTTTCCTCAGGGAAAGAAATGTTGGACAGTCTGAATCACCTTCCTGCGAGAGGACTGACAGAATAGAAGGGAAACACACCTGTCTTAGTGGATTCTACAAGCTGCTAGTGAGTTGTCATTAGATGACAGTGATGTTTGTTACTACACTGTTGTTTCTACCTTCAAGAAACCTGAAGGATACTCATTTTAGACCAGTGGTGGAGAGTGCTATGCTGTCAGTCCTTGCTAGAGAAAATGAGAAGTTATTAAACAGAAAGTTCATGTCTCTTCTGTGATGTCAAATTCTGCTGGACCAAGAGAGTTAAAAAAATGAAGGTCCCAACTGGTGAGTAAACTGCACTGCAGCTCCACAATAAAATACTATACAGCCACGAAAAATGGTACAGTAATGCAGAAATGCCCTTCCAATGTGGACAGGTTCTTACAGTATGCTACTCAGAGAACAGCAAACTGAAATCATATGGAATAAGCATGGAATTACTAATACAGGTCATCATAAATGACATGTAGTAACACATGCTAACCATGAAGGCAGGCCTTTCCCCTCAGTTTATTCTGATCAGCTACACTGCCCAGAGTCTTTTTCATCTCTTGTGGTCTCAGTGGCAGCCTTATCAAGCAGATCTGGATGAGGCAGTACAGAGAGAAAGGCTGAGGTTCAGAGCTGAGGTACACAGCTTTTCTAGGGTGGCGCCAGCCGAGTGGAACTCCCAGCAAGCAGTCTCCTTGGGGTTATTCCATTTCTGGCTGGAAGGACACATCAGCTCGCAGATAATACTACTGGTAATGTTATCAGAATTTCATCATTGTCTTCCCTGTATTTTTTTTTTTCAGTGTTTTCTACATTTGATGTGAAAAGACATACTATTTGCTAACAAAAACCAGGAATGGAAAAAAAAAAAAAAAGCAGGTGAGAGACGCTACACACTGCACTTCCAGAAATATAAGAACTGACTTGGACATTCTGAGCTCACTGAACAAAAGCCATGTCAGCTCCTGCTCTAAGTAAACACCATGTTTGTGTGGAAACATGAGACATCTTCTCTTCAAGAAAGTAACTGCTATGTGTCTGAAACAATGGCTTGAAGTTCTGCGACAAGGCGACTGTTACCTAGAATAACAAGTTTCCATTTTTATTATTCTTTATATTCAGCAAGTCGGAAGCTCTCTCCCATTCAAATATGAAGAGGAAAACACAGCCTGCGAGTTACTTGTTGTTGTTGGATAAAGAAGAGAAACAGAGGCCAAGAGGTGCCTTCAACAGATGCTGCTTTCCCCACGTGGATGAGCACCTCAGATGGTGGAGGCTGAGAGGGGAAGGGGGGCAGCTGCCGGGCAGTTTGTCGCCTAATTGTAAGCGGGGCCCAGACTGAGGAGGGAAGGGTCGCACTCCCCTGAGGTCTGGGTCCTGCACAAAAGGGCCCCAGAGCTGGAAGGGACACCTATTCCAGCTCCTCAATGCTGCTTAGCTTTACAAGGACCCCAGCAAGTGCCCAAAAGTCAAAGTCTCTGGCAGGAACACATTATCTTTTCCTGACCACTGGCTCTAATGTATTTTATGTCTTATTTGTATAAAGGGAAGCTCACGGTATGAGAAGCAGCATGAACTTTGAAGCTGGGTGGACCTTGGATGAAACCTGCTTCTGCTGTCTACTGCGGTGTGACTTCAGAGCAAGTCAAATGACTACCTGAATTTGAATCCCCCCCTTTGAATAAAAAGAACTCAGATCTAGCTCATGGGCTTATTTTTTAAATAACCTAATGAGGATAAAAGCACCTGCTACCTGATTCACGTACGTCTGTCCTTTCTTCCTGTAAGGCTGGGTGTAAGATCGGAGATCAGGCTTCACCCAGGAGCTAATACCCCTTAACTGTATTAGCTCTACCCCTTTTCTTCATCATGTGCTTTCTTTGTGTTTGTGGATGAAGGCTTGACACAGAAGAGATGCCCTCTCTTCATTTTCCACACTAGCCGGAGACACAAGTTAGGGTAGAAATGAAGGTTTGGTGACAGAGGGTGGATCCGGGTTTGGTGCAGTGCCCAAGCCTGTGCGCTTTGAGCCACAGCCTGTGTGGAAGGGGGCTGGCAAACCAAATGGGCAATCCGCAGACCCGGGGCTCTGTGGGTGCGGCACCAAAGAAGTGTTCACGCTCCAGATCCAGCAGGCCACATGCGGAATTGTCTCCCTCCTCGGGTAGCGCAGCAGGCTGAGGGAGGAGACCCTGGGCCTGCTGTCCTTCCCCATCCTTGGCGAGGAGGCACATGCCCCACCAAAGCATTTTGGGTGAGTAGGTGCGCAGAGCTCTGGGTTCAAGGGAAGTCCCCAGGGCCCCGTGGCAGCTATGAGAGGGGAGGAAATGACCTGTGAGTTGAGACTGGGCTCAGATCCTGCTCCCTGGGGCTCTGAGACCCACACTTCTTACTGAGATTCAACCCAGGCTCTATCAGTTTCTTTTGGAAGCCTGAGACACTAGTTAAGGGTTTGCAGTAAAAAGGTTAAAGGAAGGGATGCAGATTATCTCTAGCTTATACAGTGTGAATGCTATAGAGTTCTATGCTATAGAGTTCTATACTGAATTGTTTAGGGAATAATGACAAGGGGAAAAGGTCTGAGCATCTTTGGCATGATGCAACTGTCTTTTTCTTTTGTTTTTCTCATGGTTTGTGTCTGCATGTCCCCCCAAATCCTCATGCAGTCCTGGGGTGGGCTTCTAGATTTATGATTGATTTATGGTCTGATGTTGGAATTATGGATGTGAGTGCTACACTTGCCCTGGGGCGGATAGTTTGCATATAGTGTAAGAGAAGGAAAGAGGCTGCTTGCCACTGCTCCTCACTTTTGCTGTTGTTGCTTTTTGCTGTTTTCCACCGCCAGGAACAGTAGCCCTCTGCTATGTGCTGCTCTGCCTTGGAGCCAGCTGAGTATGGACTGTAACCTCCATAAATTGTAAGCTAAATAAACCTTTACTTCCTTAATTCTGGGTGTCAGGTATTTTGTCTCAGCAATGAGAGAAAAGTAATCAAGACAGTTTTCTTTTTCAATATGTTGGGCCTGAGGTTGATTAAACATGTAGATGCAGAACTTGTGGCTATAAAGAGCTGACTATACTCCCTGAATTGGCAGTAGAACTTACATTTTAAGAGGGAAAATATATAAAATCCCAAGGTACCAGGTTCAAATCAGCAATGGGCTCTTAGAAAGGAATTAACTTATGGCAATAGCATGACACTGGGCTGGCTAAGAGCTGCATGGCTTTACACCAATGCTTTCTGTCAGAAGCTCTACTCGTCTAACTCTCAGTCACACAGTCTCTTTCCTTGTCTCCTGGATAAGACACTCAGAGGGCAGACTGGGAAGGAGAAAGGGCAGCCTCCCTTCCTCATCAGAGCTGTGAAATCTGCAGCCTTTTTCCAGGGCTTTATGGCTGGTGGGACACAGAGCCCGCAGCCAGGGTGCTCGATGAGCACACACTGGGCCTCAGGATCCCAAAGAGAGAAAGAACCAGGAAGAAGAGGTGGCAGCAAGATGGCACAGACTCTGGGCTGTGCAACGAGCCTGGCAGCTGCACTGTGGACGGCATCACAGCCTCTGCAAGGAGGGCACTTCCACGGATGTTCTGCCCCAGGTATAGACTTAGAGGAGGAAAGGTGCGGGTGGCAGGACCAAAGAGGTCACAAAGCTTCCTCCAGCTCTAAAATTCAGAGAATTCAAATTCAAAAGAACCAGGGCTTTGGCCTGTCCAGGGGGCCCTGAGGCTTTCTTTCTCCTAGACCTGGAAGATGCAATCCCATCTCCCAGCTGTCCAGACTTCCACATTGCTTCACTTTGTCCAAGGAGAACTGCCACTTTCTTATGTTGTCCTTCCTCCCACCCTACATTCTTATCTTCTTGGGTCTATTATATTTTTCTATACCCTTTAACACACTGTTAAGGACTCTTAAAGGAAAGGAAAATGATTGAGCGCACATCATCTAAGGGGCTCCATGGGGGTTTGCCCTGTCTCATTGTGGCTATTTCAGTGACCCAGTGTGAATGAGTGAGCTCACACACGTCTGTCTGCACGTGGCATCAGAAGGACTGAGATCTAAACTCACCACCACCACCATTACAAATACTTTAATGAAACAAATGACCTACCTTGCTGGCCACCACCAGCTGCACCATTCCAGTGGCAGAGCGAAGAATGGCTACAGCTTCCTCGTGGGAGAGCCCGATCAGTAAGTGACCATTGATCACCAGCAGTTCATCTCCCAAGGACAGTCTGCCATCCCTGAGGAAATGGAGATGGGAAAACATATCCTCGTCAAGGCATTCTGGGCCCGAGAAGGGTCATTTTCCAGAAGCGAGGGCAGGTCATGAGAAGGGAGTTAAAATTGGGTTAAAGAGAAAATACTGAGATCCAGAGAGTGTAGGATGTGAGGCCTTTATCCTTTGTGTCCATATTCCCATGAGAGCAAGGGAAGGTCCAGCGTTTTTGAGGAGATCATTTAGCAATAAGCATATTTTGAAGTTAGTCTCATTATCTGGCATCAGGGTCAAAGAAACTCCCATCCAGGTGGAGATGGTGATGGAGAAACCACGATCCCAGTGTTCTAGGAAAGTCAAATCATACTTTTAAAATACTCCCCTCTGCCCTTGTGACCAATGCATCAGCATAGGGCCAAGTCACTGAGCTAAGCCGAGGGACAGAAAGGTACTCCGAGCCCATCAGCAGTCCTTGCGCAGCCACTGCCCTTCTCTTCCCAGGGCACAGGTCTTTCTCCAGATTTCCACTGGCACACTTGTGACTGATACTGTGCTGCATGCGTCTGTATCCTCCCACTTTCTCAGAAGGGTTACAGGACCTACAGCAGTGATGGCGATCCTTTTAGAGCTTTCAACGATAATAAACAGCCCTCTATGGCATGCGTGCCACAGGTTCGCCACCACTGACCTAGAGGGTGAAGTCTCCCGGCCCTTTTCTTATCCTTGGGTCCCTATAGCCAAGCTTCATAGGCAGGAAGATGAATCCAAATAATAATGAACAGTTTAATTTGTTGTTGCTGTAGCTACCTGGCCTATACCCATGGGCATACAAGCATTGTTTCTTTATTGCCTTTAAATTATGGCTAAGTTTTCATTCCACTCAGCCGGCAGGAGAGTCAGTTGTCACGGAGCTGTCTCCCCCGGGGAGGGCAGGGCTTTCGGTGGGAACCTATGCAGGGGACTGGGCAGTCGCCGTCAATGGGTTCCAACTGAGCCGCCCCAGGGTCTGGTCTTCCATGACCACAGAGGAACCAGAGATAGCTAAATATGGGACAGGACATCTAATGAGGAGGAGACTTTGAGCCTCCCCTGCAGCACTCAGGGCGCTGCTGTGGAACTCAGGAATGTCTCCATTCCTCTCAGACTCACTCAGCTTGGATTATCTTCCATGTGTGCACTTTCTCCCCTTGCTTTCTTTCAATGAATCAGCCGGCTTCTCTCCTTTCATCCTTACCTCTCTCATCTTTCAACAGCTTCTCTAGTTCCCATTTTCTGTCAGCTTTCTGTACAGCAAACATCACCATTTTTTCTATGAATTTAGGTTTTAACATAAGATAGGAGGTGTAAGACTTCCTAGAGCCTCTGCTTTCTTTAAAAGACCTGGAAGCAGAGAAATCCTAAGGGCCCCATTCATGGGTTGGAATGCTTAAACAGGGCAACCTAGAAAATCAGAGGGGAGAAATAAACTGGAATCTCAAGGAGAGGATCATGTGGGAGGAAAGGGATTCTGCATAAAAAATTCAGTGGGGCTAGGCGGTGTCTCTGGGCTTCCTTATCCATAGTGACACCAGGACTAACTCCTGCTCCATCTCTTTTCCATTTCACTCCCTGATTCCATTTCTCTCATCCCCTGTTATTAACTGGAATGCTCTTGAGAGACATACACCTCATAGACAGAAGGACACATTCGACTCCAGGCTGAGGGGGAAAAGAAATCGAAGAGACCCACTAGAAAGGCTCCAATGGGAAACAGACAGGAGAAGTTTCCTGTAAATCTTATCTCTGGGCATAGGGATTTCCTAATTGCCAGCTTGCCAAAGCTAGACTAGAATTTAAGTCAGGATTAATAGGAAAATGACTATCTAATGGGAGTTCCATAAGGCTTATGTCATTCAGGAAGTCTAGTACTGCTCATCTAGGTTAAAACTGTGTCAGACCTAATCTTTTAATAATGACTATCTCAGAAAACTGACAATTGTAGTTAGCCACATCTCTGCATTAAATATTAGCATCCTCTTCTAGAAGAGGATTGAGGAACAGGAAACATTTTGTTAGTTTGGGCCCAGGACCTCTTCTCAGTTTTCCATTCTTCAGACAAATACCTCTACGTCCTTCAGCTGCACCTCTTGAAATAGATGTTTAAGTCCCCTTTTGAACCTGGGCAGGCCCGTACTGTTTTGGGCAGTCATATTCCCCTAGAACCAAGCTATCTGGACTGAATGAATTCTAGATTGAATAAAAGACCATTACCTCCCTCATCAGTGAAACCATCCTTTTATACACCTACTGTGCATGCGTGGGCATGCAACACAGGTACATGCCCCATCATGCCTTGCAAATAAATAGGGACACCCTATGTTAATAGAAGCAATTAGTAGGTCAAAATGCATGCCTGATATTTTGAGATAACTATATCCCTCATACTCAAAATGATTGTTTTATAAATGTTCTAAATATACACTGTCCTCTTCCTACTTCAGATAATCACTCAGATTAAGAAACAAGCTTTTAAGTATGAATTGTTTTCAGGTCACACAGACAAAATTTCACTTTCTCCTCTTCTATATCTGTGCTACAGACACATACAACATGAAGTATGTGTGAAATCCGGCAGAGCTGACAAGTGCATGAACTGTGGTCACGTATAAACCCAATCACTCTCCCGATTCATTAGTCACACGCTTACAAAAGTTGAGATGTCAGGATGTGTTCTCGGTTTCGTGGGATATTCTTGATAAGTAACCGCATATTATCATAGTATCAGCATCCCAAAAGTTAGAATACATAACATTTTCTTGAAACTAAAACAGGTCTAAGAAGAAATCCAATCTCTTTTCCATGGTTTGGAAGATCTTAAGTATCTTTCTCAATTAGCCATTTCCTGTGTTCAGAGATGTGTTCAATTAGAACTGACTTGTCTCATTTCCTTCCATGTCGAAGCATAATCTTTATGCACTATAATTACCAGGGCTTTCACCAAATGGAAGAGTATTAGCACCCAGCACCCAAGGGAAGGGTAGGGAGGACAGGAGGCAGAGAGACAGGGAAAATTATCTAATCACCTGTGAGCGGCACCTCCTTCCTTCACTTGAGTGACAACGATAGCGTGAGGTGAGCGCTTTGATCCTCGGCCTCCACTAACCTGAATTCCCAGCCCATCTGATTCTTTGAGCAGCTCCATCTTCCATATCCGACCAACTTCCTCCTTAGAAGAAAAAGCAAGCATTACATGAAGGATGTTGACAGACATACAGCGTCGACAGAGGAGAGCGGAGCTGTCACATCAAGCCAAATATCCATCACTTGTCAACAGACACTGCAGAAGAAAAAGCTGCTGTGGGCTGGACCGAAGACTGGCTGGCAGAGCCGCCCAGCTGAGCGAGCTGCCACAACGGAAACGTTCTGTCTGTGCCATCCCAAATGGAGCCACTGACCACAGGCGGCCAGGAAGGGCTTGAATGTGGCTGGTGGCAACTGAAGACTTGAATTTTAATTTCACCAAATTCTAATTAAATTTAAATATTCAAATAGCCACCTGTGGCTAGTGGCCAGGATATTAGACAGCCCAGAATGGGTGATTATTCAATTTCCTGACCAGGCTTCTGTTAAGTGAAGCTTCTTTTGCCCAAGATCCAGACGCCACTGTGCATATAAACACTAGGTGACTGTGGGATCCTTTTATTTTGGCACAGCCACTAATTAATAAAGGAAGATGAAAGGAATATGCTTGGGTTTTGGTGTCAGGAGACTTCAACTAGTTTGAACCTAGTTCTGCTATTTATAACTTACGAAAATCACCTAATGCAAAAATATCTGATTCCTTGACTTGAAGGTAGGAATTATTATTAATGCTTCTAGGATTTTTCTTAGAATTAAATAAGATATTTATGGAAACATGTAGCAGCATATGATCACCTAACAGATAGTAATAAGTGTTGATAGGTAATCATAAGAGTATCGCTTACTAGAAAAGCTTGGGGACTAAAAGTGTTTCAGAGTTTGGATTTTAAAATCTTGGAATAGGGGGCTGGGGATTTAGCTCAGCGGCAAAAGCGCCTGCCTGGCAAGCGCAAGGTCGTGAGTTTGGTTCCCGGTACCGGAGAAAAACCAAAAAAAAAAAAAAAAAAAAAATAAAATCTTGGAATAGTTGCGTACACGCATGAGATACCTTGGGAATGGGCCCCAAATCTAAATATAAAATTTATGTTTCATATACACCTTACATATATAACCAAAGGTAATTTCATACATCATTCTTAGCGCACCTGTGTTTTAAAGGTGATCTGTCACATGAGGTCAGATGAGAAATTTTCTACTTTTAGTAGAAATTACTGATGCTTAGTAATTTTCACATTTTGGAGCATTTTGTATTTGTATTTTCAGATTAAGAATGATATACATATGTGTGTGTTTGTATATATATGTATGTATGTGTGTGTATACATATATATATATTTATGTTAAAAACATCATATTGAATTGAATCTCAAGCTTCCTTAAAACACACAAATGATATCTGTGGTAGGAAAAACCAAAATAGAAAATGAATTGGTGACTCTGATGCTCACTGTTAGTCGATAGAACTGGTGACATTGGTCTGTACACTCCTTAAATAAATTTAAAATCCTTAAACGTCTATAAAAATTTGTCCTTAAAAAAACTAATGAAGGGGCTGGGGATCTAGCTCAGTGGCACAGCGCCTGCCAGGCAAGCGCAAGGTCGTGAGCTTGATTCCCAGTACTGGGAAAAAAACCAAAAAAAAAAAAAAAAAAAAACCCAAAAAACTAATGAGTATTTTTCAGCCATTTGATTACCATAGCTTTTCTGCTTTGGTTTGTCCTCTACTTGAATCTCTATGTCACTCTAAGGACATGAACATGCTTATTGAAAATTGTTGAGTTCTTGCAGATACTTAGCTGTTCAGAAAATGAGAGTAAAATCTTTAAAAGTGATTTATTTTGGGATCTTTCTTTAGGCTCCTCCTTGCTATTCTTTTTAGCCCTGGATATACGGGTGTGGGTCATAATATACTCTTCAACATATAAAGTAAAGGCCATCTGTTTTTTCCATCCACATGAATATCCAGTGGAACAGTGAAGGTCTATACAGACAATGCCATCATCTCCCAAGAAATAGGCAACGGGCCCATTCAAGCTGCTTGCAAAGAAGAAAGAATGTGAAGCATTTAGGAAATCTGAAATACACAGTGTCAGAAACTGAAATGAAACTTTAGGCAATATTGAAAAACCCAGATGTTGAGCAGTCGCTGATGTGCAGCAGTAGGAATGTCTGGGGAAATTATTACCAGACAGAAACCTGCTCGATCCTACACTTTTGCTAGTACAGTGCTGCTCGGTGGGGCTCCCCTACCCAGCAACGTGCAGCGGTGCCAACTGTCTCCTCCTTCCTCCGACCACAGACGAATGGAGCCTGTCTGGCCAAATGTAACTTCAGAAGCCACTGGCTTACCACAGTAGTTCGTGAACTTGTTGATGGTCCCTATTTAATCTAATCGGCCCACTTTGGACTCCATGGTTTTTGGTTTGCTGCCTCTGACCTCTGGAACACCTTTCTCCTCTCCATTCAGAAACACTCTCCCTGGTCTTTGGTTTCTCACAGCTCCACTATTTCTAAAAAGCCAGCCTTGGGAATCAGCCTCACTGCCAAGATGGCAGCTTTCAACACTACCAAATTAGGAGACTTGATGTCCTTGTAGATGCCACCAAAAAGAAAAAAATCAGGACATGCTGATTGGTTGCTGTCCTGGCTTGCTGTGTGTCCCATGCCAGCATCCCGGGCAGCCTCTGGCTGTCTCTGTGGGCATCGAGGTGCAGTTGAGACACGAGGGTAACACGGTGGTTTATTTCTTCCTGGAAAAGGTGACACAGTTCCCAGGTCCCTGGAGATGAGACACAGTGCTCCTTCTTCCCCTAGCACAGAAAAGCTGTGCACTTTCTCCAAAAGATCAGAGTCCGTTACTGGAGTCCAGAAAGAGGATACATTTGTTTTCAGCCCAAATTAGTAAAACTCTATCTACCCCGCTTCCCAGCTTATACTCTCATTCTTTTCCCCCTTAACTCTCCTCTTTCATTAAACAGAACATACAGGCATGGATCACAGAGGGTATGACAATACTAGATACATTCTTTCTTAATCTTTAAATGTTTTTAACAGTAGGATTTTGTGATGAGTCATGCAAAAATACATTCATGGGGGTAGAAAAACAGCTAAATATATATACTGACAGATTAGTAAGGAAAGTTTTCTTCAAGAGCATTCACATAACCACTTCACATCCTCCTCTGGCCCAACACACACAAAACTAGTTAAAAAAAAAAAGAAACCCAAATATCTAATACACATGGCTTCAGAGAGTGGAAACAACTGTGAATGCCTAATTAATTATTCTAGTAAAAAACCAGATCTTCTTCACTTTTATCCAACAACATGACTTCCCTCTACAATTAAAGTGAGAATTATAAGGGGATTGTCCAAAGAAATCAATGCAAGTTTTCTTTTTTTGTTTTTTTTTCTGGTACCAGGAATTGAACTCATGACCTTGCACTTGCCAGGCAGGTGCTGTGCCACTGAGCTAAATCCCCAGCCCCCCAGTGCAAGTTTTCTGTGACCAGAATTGTGGAAAGAATTAAGTTCATAAACCAAGGTACCATTTTATAAAGCAAGGCATAAGCAGCAAGCGGCAACTGTTACCAATAGAAATCATACAACTGCCAGTAAACATTCTATAGTACTTGTAAATTTAGTTGCCTATAGCTAAAGCAATGTTCAGTTAGAAATTAGTGCCTGAGATTTGTTAGGCTAGTGTTGGTACTGGCCAAAAACAAGCAGGCTAACTTATTTACACTTTAGTTCAGTCAAAACTGGACTCTTCTCCCTTCTGCTCCTGGCTTTCCCATCTCAGTAGGAATAGAACTATCATCTACTCAAGCTACAGAGGCCAGGCAAGACAAAAGCCCATGTGTGATCTTTGATTCCTTCTCCTATTTCATTCCCTACTTCCAAGCATGCGGGAGATCCGTAGGTTCTGCTTCCAAAATAGACCCCACAATCATCTACTTATGTTCTTCTCCACTGGCACCTTTGTCAAAGCCACTACATCTTTAGCTTGGGTGACCACAATTGCCTCTTACCTGGTTTCCTGTTTTACTCTTCATTTTCTACAGCCCATTGTTCTCCATTAAACATCCAGGGTGAATGTTTAAAAAGCATAGGTTATGCTACATTTAGCTTAAATCCTCCAGTAGCTTAAACACCTTGCAGACTGACAATAAGGGCCAAAACTTTGTCATGGTGAACATGACCTTTTGTGAGTGAGCCCTGTCCGCTGTCCTGAATCATCTCCCTGTGCTCAGGTTCTTTGCTCCTGGAAAACCCTACTGTTCCTGTTTTAGCCAGTTTGTCCTTGGGAACATTCTGTCCCCTGATTTTACAGGGCTGCCTGGCTCAGTTCAAGCACTGCTTCTTCATTGAGGTCTTCCTTTGCGGACACCCAATATCAACTAGCCCACGTCCATCTGCAGAGCCATTTTCCATGTCACCCTGGTTTAGTTCATTTATAATACTTGTCACTGCTGTATGTTCTGATTTGTTTACTTGCTTATTTATTGTTTAAGGCCTTCTTCTATGCTATAAATGCCATGGGATAAAGTACCTTGTTCCATTTCATTTACCAGTGGGTTTACTAGCAACTAGAACAGAACATAATGTATAACAACATTGTACAAATAGCACAGAATTAACAAGCACACAGTGCTTATACACTCATCTTATGTAGGGTTCTTTGCATACTGAGACTGAAAAGAGGAGATCCATGTGGGAGACCTGTGTGTTCACCAGGGTTCAATCTGTGAGCACCGGCTCACGTGAAGATAGACTGGACATTCATTTCTCTCTTACACTGGTTTAAAGGGCAGTGAGACTTTGTCAGCCTATTGAGAAAAAGCCAAATCACAACAAACTGGATGCTATGGACTTCGGTACTAATGTTGTCAGAGTGTTACCTTTTCCTGTAAACCTCCCACTGCGGTGTGAAATCACATGTGCATGTCTTCACTGAAGCCACTGTGAGGATTTATTTACTACCGCAGGGTGGCACATAAAGGGGACTAACTCACAGCATTTAAATGACCTCATTTCTGCTGGAACCAAAAATAACACTTTACAACAGCATCTTTGCCCCAAATGTGAGAAGACACATCAGCCAACTAGAATTTCATTGTGGTGAATGCTTTGACTCTCACTGCAAACCTATTCTGAGACTGTCTTATCCCTTCTCATGTAGAAGGATTGGCAAGAAATGAAAAATAATATGTGATCCTGTCAGAGCTGGGAGCCCCTTAGTTATCAGATCAAAATGTTCAAGAAAACCAAAAAACAGAGAGAAGGCAGGGAAACAGAAAAATAGAGAAAAGCCACAGGAGCCGAATGGCCTCAGAGCTGGGGATAGAAGAGCTGGGGATAGAAGAGCTAGGACTGGAGTCCACTATCTTATCTGGCATCTCTGGGCATTTTCATTAAAAAGATCTACAGAGCACCAACAGGTATAAGCCCCCGAGCTAGAATTGGTGACAGACAAATAAGCCCTGCCCTTAGGGTCTCCTGGGGACACAATGAGCCAAGTAGTAGCTGGAACACGTGGGACTCATGTGTCACCACAGACATGGCCGGGAGTACTGCAGAAGCCTAGAGAAGAGAGGTCTCACAGCAGAGTAGGGGGCAGCAGTGCTCCAGAGGCCTTCTAGAGGAAGGTGTCTCCGTCTCCTGGGAAAGACAGAAGCCAAGCTATTCTGGGGAAGGGGGACAGAAGAGGAGGAGAACCTGGCAGAAGGGGCAGCATCCACAATGGCTCAGAGACAAAAGAGAGCACGGTTTCTGGAAACATCTGCCGTGAATAGCCCAAACTGGGGAGGAGGGCAGCAGTGGGAAACAGGATATCCTGGACAGGTTTAGGACGGGGCTGGCCACCGTGAGCTCGAAACTTCCAGCTCCAGTGCCGTGCTCCAGGGAGGTGAGGCAGGCTGGCATTTAAGTTAATAATGGATCACACCTATTAACAAAAGCTCCATAAAATTCTTGAAGTGTGGGGTTTGGAGAGCTTCTGGATTGGGAATGGATCCTTATGCCATAGGGGGCATGTTTCACTTCCTTAGCAATAGAAACTCAGGTAGGGGGTCCTTGTGGTCCTCATCTGATGTACCTCTTAGACTGGCTGTTCATTTGTATGCTTTATCTTATTTTTTATTATCTAGTAAACTAGTTTATGCAAAAAGGACAAAAGTGGGAGGTAGAGACAGGAAGGTAAACAGGGATCAGATAATGAGGGCCTCAAATGACATGCCAAGGCATTTGGATGTTACCCTGAGGGAGAACAGACCTCAAACATATTCACAGATATACCTGGTGCTAATGTGAATACACTTGCCTACTTAGCAAATGCTGGGATCTTTTCCCCCTTTGTTATGTGACTATATTTTGTTGTATTCATTTTCACCATAAAGCATTACAAAAATACACATTTTATGTCAACAGACTTAAAAAAAATTTTCATCCTGAATGAATAATGGTCTTTGCTAGAAATGTAGTAAAGCTCCTTGAGCTTGTGTCTAAAACTGCTTGTCTATGTCCTAAGGGATTCTTAAGAAGATGGACCCAACTTTTAAAAAAGTGAGTTGGTTTGTATATGCAGTACTACCTTGGTCTACAAGTGCTTTTTTTGGCAAACAATTTGGTTTGCACACAAAAGCATTTGGTAAAATTTTGTTTTTGCTATCTAACTCTGTATGAGGTGATGAACATGACCTTGGCCATGTTTCCCATGGGAACATGGCCATCTTTTCCGGAACTGTGGAATGAATTAAGTTTGTGAACCAAGGCAACACTGTATATAATTATGTGGTAAAATTTTATTCCAAGATACCACTTTTCAAAAGAAAATATTTATTAAAAAGAGAGATGTTTCGGGGGCTGGGGATTTAGCTCAGCGGCAAAGCACCTGCCTGGCAAGCGCAAGGTTGTGAGTTCGGTTCCCGGTACCGGAGAAAAACAAAAAAAAAAAAACAACAAAAAAAAAGAGAGATGTTTCTTATTGCTCTGTTAAGGGAGAAGAGAATAAGGAAGCAAAGACGGAAGATTGATTTTAATGTAATATTTTCTTAGAGCAAAAAGTCCATGAAGAAGTACCTGGCAAACAAAAATGGTCTGAATAAGCACTATAGGCCTTTTTTGTAATTTATTAAGTCTTTATAGATATATTAAATCATTAATAAAGCAGAAATGGAACAACACTGACATGTTTCATCTCCCATTATTCAAATGAAATGGAATTTTTTCCCCCAAAGGCCTAAGAGTAAATAGCTAATTTCTGGTTTTCTAGAAATTCTATTTTAGCATGACCTTGGCTTCAACTATCCTAGAGTAAAAATGAAAATCCTCTCCAGCCCAAGAACCTAGGCAGCCTTTTATGAAAACCTCTTGGTTCCAATTTTAGTGCCACTGGGATGTGGAGGAAGATGTGAAGATTTACCGTGGCTGACTCTATCAATCCTGAGCAAATGTATTCAGTGAACGTACTTCAGGGGCGGAGAAGGGTGCTGAAATGTGCATGCCTGGGAAGGTGTGTGGTCCATGCCCGTTTACCAAGACCAAAACATGAACCAGGGCCAATGATCCGTCTATGGAGTATGTCCACTTACAAAGAATGCAAACTTCAGATGGCCAGTTTTCCTCTCTATAAGGACATGCATTTCAAAAAGAAAATTGCCTCAAAAGCAATAGATTGAGTTTTTCACCCTTTCATTTATGACTCCTGGGGCTCTTTCTTTCTTTTTTGGTGGTACTCAGGATTGAACCCAGGTCCTTTGCTCTGAGCTACACTGTCAGCCCTTTTTATTTTTAATTTTGCTTTGAGACAGGGTCTTGTTGCTAAGTTTCCCAGGCTGGTCTTGAATTTGCAATCCTCCTGCCTTGCCTTCAAAGAGAACCGGTATTACAAGTGTGTACCGACATGCCTGGCATGGATATTTGATCTTGATCATAAAACTAGACAAAAGAACTTTGATATTTGTAGTCTTTAGGTAGTCTAATCCAGAAATTCAACTTTATGTTATTGTATTTAATTAAGATGAGTGGAAGGATGGCACTCACTTAGAAATGTGGTGGTAGGTTTTTTTTTTTCTTTAAAAATCATTTCAAAAAGTTTCCACTGTAGTCTAAGTTAAATTAAAGCCTGATATTTGGACTGTACATGTGATTCAACCTCCTTTGGTGCCATAAATCTCTGAAATAATTAAGGAATTGTGCCCTACCTTATATTGTTCACATTAGGTGTTTTGTGTATTCACGATGTAATCATTAGGTGAAAAAAATCATATCAAGATATGGTATTCACTAATAAGGATACCATTTTAATGTTTATTGACTTTAATCTGGGTGATATACATTATAATTTTTACTTTGCCCTTATTCCTTTTTGGAGGAGACTTGTAAAACAGAGAGAAAACTCCTTACAAGTGACATCGAGTTTTTGCTGTCATGTGTTTATGCATCCATTCCTTGACAAATTATATCTCCTGGGGTGAGGCTTTATGAGGCTCACCCAACTCCTCAAATGAACATAATCCCTTGAGATAGAGCTTATATTAGATTATTCTCAACTCATCCTACAGATTGGCTAAAATCCTGAAGTAATCCCATCAACAGGAGAATTTACAGTAGGTCCCAGGTACTTTTTTTCAGCATACAAAGCAGCACATGATACTACCGTGTCCGTTTCCTGCTTTCCCGACTGTCCCTCTCATGCCTAGAGACTGTCTCCTGAACCAGGGAAGAAACCAGTCTGCACCCATCCAGCGAGCAGCTGCTTCCTGAAGAGCTTGTAGAAACAGTCGCTACGAGGATGCTTGCAGCAAACATGTTTACCCTAAGAAGTGTAGCTCTGATACGAAAATGCTGGGTATAATGGGGAGACCATGGCAGGCAGGCAGCTCACCCATCACCAGTCAGAAAATATCACATCAGCTTTGCCATTAGGCAAAAATAACTGCAACCATCACCACTGGATGTCACATGTCAGAGGTTTCTGTGAAGCTTCCAGGCCTCGCTGGAATTTATCAATGTAATGTCATGATACCATGAAAATATCACTGGTTCTGACCTGTTAAAACCATTGGTGAATTCCTACCATCTTGTTTGGTGAAGCTCTGTATTGTTTCTAATGTTTTTTTTTTAAATTATCTTTTATTCTGTTTAATGGTTTGATCAATCTTGTATTCTTATATCTGGTAATCTGAGCAACTTTTGAAGATAACAATATGTAATATAACAACTGTTAATTCCTATCATTTTGCTGTGAAACCCTGTATCATTTTTGTTTTTGCTTTGTTTTGTTTTTGTCAATGTTGTTGTTATTTTATTATTTTTAAAATTCTCTTTATAATAAAAAAAAAGCATGAGTGGGCATGGTGGTGCATGTCTATAATTCCAGCATTCAGGAAGCCAAGGCAGGAGGATCACTATGAGTTCAAGGCCACCAGGGGCTACATAGGGTGAGTTTGAGGCCAGCCTGAACTACACAGAGAGACCTTGTCTCAAAAAATCAAAAAATAAATCAATAAAAAAAGCAGATGAATCGCGGCATGTTGGATACTCTTCCTGTATAATACTGAGGCTGTGATGTTTGTACTATCAACTGCCTTAAAGTAGCAATTTCCCTGTGACAGCAGTGATGAAAAGTGATGCACTTGAAGTGCTTCATCTGGGCCTCATCTGACTCAGATTTTACCGCAGAAGGCTTGGCTTTTCACTTATTATCCTCTGACCAGCTCTGTACGTAAGTAGAACAAAATGACTTGAACTGTTTTTGTTTGTTTGGTTTTTTTTTTTTTTTGGTACCGGAGATTGAATTCATGACCTTGCACTTGCCAGGCAGGCACTGTGCCGCTGAGCTAAATCCCCAGCCCCTGAACTGTTTTGTTGTTATTATGTGATCTTATCATTTATCTTGACGAATCTATCGAGGTCTAAGTGAAAAGTCATCTTAGAAATGTTTTCTAAATTTTAAAAGCAACTTCAGATCAAGTTTCTTTTAAACTTTGGGTCCCATAATCAAAGCAAACCTTACCCGAGGCAGGCAGTCACTGGACTGGAAGTCCGTCTTCCCAGCTTTGGAGAAGCGGCGTTTGTCACCGCCTGCGCCCGTGGTCACAGGAGCCTCTGTCTTTGGAATTTGAGGCTCTGCCCCTTTGTCTACTTCTGACCTCTCCAGATTGGGTCCGGCCACGTCCTTGAGAGAATGTGAGCCATTCTGTAGCTCAGAGCCGTGTCCGTTTCCGAGCTCAGGGTCTGCGCTGCCATTCTCCAGCTCAGAGCTGGGATCGTGCGCCAACTCACAGCCCGCGCTGTTCTTGGACTCCTCAGGGGCCTTGTTGGTGGGAGGTCTGGAAATGACCCCAAACTTTCTTGTTCTTTTTCCCTTCTTCGAAGTTTGGTCGCCCAGCTCCAAGGTAGGTGTCTCTCCTGGTTCCGAGCTATTGCTGCCGTTGCCATTGTAAGTCGAGTGGGCTTTGTGCTTGAAGCGCCGCAGCATGATCAGGTAGATGAAGCCGCCATTCCAGCACTGCTCAGCCAGGTAACTGCAAGGGACAGACAGCGCCATTAGAGCAGCCAGTGCCGCAGGTGCACCAGTGACTGGGAACCTGGCCCGCACATCCAGTGCTAGGCTTCCTAGGGAGCTCAACGCTCAACTGTCTTTTCATGTGTTTTTTTCCGGTACCGGGAATCGAACTCACGACCTTGCACTTGCCAGGCAGGCGCTGTGCCGCTGAGCTAAATCCCCAGCCCCTGTCTTTTCATTTGTGTAACTACTGACAGTAAGATGAGCCCCCTAAACACACACATACATACACAACCCCAATGAGCTGGAAGTTACTGAGGTCCCCTGATCACGAGTAAGGGAAGGGTTTTTGGTCAACAGACTCAATCCTAACATATCATTAAAAAAAAAAAATTATTTATTTTTGTAGTACTAGGCTAGAACCCAGGGCCTCATGCATGCTAGGCAAACACTGAGCTACACCCTCAGCCCCTAGAAAAAATTCTTATAGGAAGGCTAAGTTCAAATGCTCTACAGCACAGGAGGGTGAGTATGGTCAATAACATTTAATTTTATATTTCAAAATAGCTACTAAAGAGGATTTTGAATGTTCCCGATGCAAGGAAATGATAAATGTCTGAGGTGATCTGGGCATTACACATTGTGCACGTGCATTGAAATGTCACCCCGAACTCCATAAATATGCATAATTATGTGTCAACTAACAATAAAACAGGTTTTTAAAAGATGAGGCATAGGAGCCTGTCTGGGCCTCATGGCGGTCTGGAGGAGTTTATAAATTGCAATCCCAGGGAAAAGTTATTGGAATTCTTGCAAGTAAATGCCAATCTACCACTTCCAATGCAACCCATGCAAGAATAGAGACAAGACATATCTGCAGTTTTGGGGAGCTAAGGGGATCTTAAATCCATTCAGAACAATGGCTGACTGGAATGAAGGTCATGGCCCAGGGCTGAAAACAGGTTTTATTAATTCGTAAAGAGGGGAGCGGCTTGGGGTTGAGTGACTGTGAGAACAGCAGGAAGTAGGTGAGGGCTGTGAGCTGGGCTAGGTAGGAGGCACAACAGCACCTCTGCAATATGCAGAGAGGTCTGCAGAAAGAGTACTGGATTCTGGTAACAGGTAGCCTCTAAGTTTGGAGGAATCTGCATAACACAATTTGAGGAAGTATCTTTTGAGGAAGTATCTTGTGTTTGGGGTCTGCTGCCTCAGCTCGGATGTCTAGCTTTAATTGCCCTGGGACCTCACTGCCTCTTTCCAGATGCTCCAGCCAACAGCATTTCTCGGTCTAGTTCAAGCTTAGTAGTAGGGAGCAGTAGGCGGAACATCACAGACTATTACTTTGCTTCAAAGGCTACCCATCAGTGTCCGGCTGGACCCATTTGCATTGCTTAAAGCCATTTCAGGAGACTGAGCATTTCCCTAGCCAGCTCTGTGCATCGCAGTACATGGAAGTAGGGCAAAGGTGACCAAACTGGAGGCAAATTGTCTCCTTCAGGGGGAGCAGGCTCAGTGGTCCTCCACAATGAAGGGCTTGGTTAAAGCAAAAAAAATAAAAAGGATTCTTTACCCCTTCTCATTTACTCTCATTTACGCATTGCTTGTATTTTCTCATCTATAGACTTCTGGTGGGATAATAATACAAGTACCTAGGGTAAAGAATACATAAAATGGGTTGGGGAAAATGTAAAATTCTGTTATTAGGCCAAAAAAAGAGAGTCAACTTTATAACAGTCACTTCTGCCCCACAGCATCTAAACTGACCAAATGTACAACCCTGATACGAGGCGTGGGTTGTCTGGGGTTAAGCTGTAACTGGCTAAGCCAGCGCTGGCATAGAATGAGTGTCAGGTTCCTAACCTGGTCATGGTCGTAGCTCAGGCAGTTCACAGCACACATAGGTGGTCCTTTCTGTTTGAGCCTCTCTTTAAGAAGAGCACTGACAAAATAGACACAAGAGACCAGGACAAAGAAGGTTGCTGGAAATTGTGTCAATCAGGAACATTTGGGGAGTAAGGGACACTCAGCCTGGAGAAGACAGGGCCAAGGCCAGTTGCCTCTTTATATATTTAAGGGAGGCAAATATCGAGAAGCAGGAAATAATATGAGATAATACATGTAAAGCGTGACACGTGATAACTGCTCCAGAGTGTAGAGGATCCCAAGAAAATAAAACATCAAATGAAGTAATTAGCAGTATTCAGGGTGCCAGGTCATTAAAGCTTCAGCAAACAAAACACTTGGTCAAAGTCAGGAAAGAAAGTTAGGCTCGGTGCTGGAGATTTAGCTCAGCGGCAAAGCACCTGCCTGGCAAGTGCAAGGTCGTGAGTTCGGTTCCCGGTGACGGAGAAAAACCAAAAAAACCGAAAAAACAAAACAAAACAAAACAAAACAAAACAAAACAAAAAAAGAAAGTTAGGCTCAACTGTCCATTAGTGCCATCCAAGATAAAGTAGCACAGATCCCCAAGAAGCCCAGGGAAATGCTTTCACCACTGGAATCTTGCCACATCCTACACACCACTGGTTCCCAGACAGTGTCAACAACCAAATCTTTCATAAATTGAACCTGCTTCTGGTCTTCTTATGTCTATAAAGAGAAGGTCTAGGGCTATACTTGGTACCTTCCCAAGTGTACAAAGCCAGGGGCTCTCCATTCAGGTGCGATGCTGACTCTAAAGAAATGGGGACTGTGGGTAAAAGATGGCTTTCTGTGATCTTGTCACCAGGGAAAATCAGATCTGAGTGCTGGGGCAGTCAGACGTGGGAAGGAGGCCAGGTTACCATAGTCCTCTCTCACCATGAGCTGTCACTTAGGTAACAGACAGTGGAAGGGGCCACTGTACTTGAAGAGGTGGCCAGCTGTGCTGGATGCCACTGGAGTCTGGCCTGAAGGCACACAGTCCCTGTCCCTACAGATCAGAGCAGTGACAGTGCCTGTCTTAGGGGAGAAAAGAATAATTCTCAATATTTGCCATGCAGGAAAGTGAACAAGAGAGAAGGGACTCAAACAGCAACCAAACCTAATAAAAACTCTCTTTGATGCTGGGCTATATATCACAGTGGTGAACTCACACACAAAAAAACAAGTACAGGAAAAAAAAAAAGATACTGTGCAGGTCTCAGGCCATTCTGTGAAATACAGTAGGAGGAAGAGGCATGACAAGCCATTCACGGAGGTCTGGAAAATAAAAATTAAACTTGGTTCTCAACACAATCATCCTGAAATGTTTAGATTTTATTTCTTTGAATTGTGTATTTTTTCCAGACTGGAAAAGCTCTTGTAAGAGTATAAAATCTGAAAATTAGGCAGCCAGGTTGTAAGGGTTTCATTGAGCAAACAACTTCTAGTTAGAATGTTATACATGCTCAGATGTTATGAAAAACAGTGTGGGACAGTAAAAACAGGGCAAGGTACAAAGTTAGTTATCCAAGTCCTCATTCTGGTTTTGGCCCAACCATGTAAAATAATGACATTGTACAAGATGTCCATCCACTAATGAATGGATAAATTGCATCATATTTATATAGTGGAATATTACTCAGCAATAAAAAAGAATGAATTATAAGCTATAAGATGGGTGACACTTGGAAACCTGATGCTAAGTCAAAAAAGCCAAACCATAAAAGGTTGTATGTTGTATAATTCCATTTCGTATATGACATGTACAAATATGCAGACACAAAGTGATTAGAGGTTTCCAGGAGTTAGAGGAGGAGGGAACTGGGACTGACTGCTGGGTAGGTAGAGGACTTGGGGTGGGGTGTGTGATAAGAATGTTCTGGAATTAGTGGTAATGAGTGTATAACATAGAATATATGTTAAAACCAACTGAATTATACACTTTAAAATGGTGAATTTTATGTTAGTTAGCTTTCAACTGTGGTAACAAATATGTGGCATAATCATCTTATGAAGAGAAAAGGTTTCATTTGGCTTATGGCTTCAGAGGTTTTCAGTTCATGGTTGCTTGGCTCTGTTGCTCTTGTGCCTGTGGTGAGGAAGCACATCATGGCAGTAGCCTGCAGCAAAACTGCTCACATGATGGCTGGGATGTGAAAGAGAAAAGAGGAAGGGATTGGGGCCCATACCCTGTTCCTGTGGGAGCTGAAAGGTACCTGTGATTGAGAGTGTTTTACTCCTGCAGGGTCCATACTTGGCAAAATTCAAAGCCAAGAGGAGTTTATATTTAGTTCAGTACCATCTCCTTGTCCTTTCCTTGCTTCCGGACAATAAATAAGACCTGACATCTTAAGGGAACTGTATGACAGGTTGTTTTATCCTTTCCTGGACTCTGGATTATCTAAGGTCAACCCAAGACAAAGGGCAATGAATGAATTATGGACACTGTAGCAAGTTGGTAAAGAGGAGATTTTTATGGAAGAGATAATCTTTTTTAGAATTCTTTAAATCAACTTAGGCCAGGTTAAAACCTGGACATCTTCAGGAGCCCTGGTGAGCCGCCTCCATGCCTCCCCCACCAGTGTATGAGACAGGTGGAGGTCTGGACACCTTCTGGGGCCTCAGTGGTCACATCTCACATCCCTGCAGGAGCTGGGCTGAACACCGGACATCTTTAGGAACCCCAGTGAGCTGCCCCCACACCTCCCCCCACAAGCATGTGAGGCAGGCAGAGCCCCAAAACCTTCTGGGGCCTTGGTGGCCACTCCCATCACCATCTGCACCCCTGCAGGAGCCAAGCTGAACCCTGGACAGCATCAGGGTTCAGAATCCTGGTGGCTGTGGCGACACCAACCTCACCTCTCCCCGACCAGTGTGGGAGCTGGACTGGGTCATGGGCAATGTCTGAAGCCTCAGTGACCACAACCTGTGCCCCCTCAACCCTTGTGGAAGCTGGGCTGAACCCTGGACAGCTTCAGAAACCCCAGTGAGCCTCCCCAACCGCTCCCTCACTGGCCATGGAACCAACTGAATGCAAAAAAGCTTCAGCAGCATCTGTGACCATACGTTGCCCCCACACACCAGCACAGGAGCCACACTAAGCATGGGGGACCTTCG